TTGGACTATAAGGAAGGCCGAGCGCCGAAGAATAGATTCTTTTGAACTATGGTGCTGGAGAAGACTCTTGAGAGTCCCTTGGACTGCAAAAAGATCAAATCAGTCAATCCTAAAAGAAATCAACCCTGACTGTTCCCTGGAAGGCCAGATAATGAAAATGAAGCTCAAATACTTTGGCCACCAAATGAGAAGGGAGCACTCACTAGAGAAGACCCTGATGCTGGGAAAGATTGAAGGCCAAAGAAGACGGGGATGGCAAAGGATGAGATGGTTAGACAATGTCATCGATGCAACGAACATAATTAATTGGCAATAGGCAAATTAGGGTTCTCACCAATGTATACAGAAGTGCCACCTTTGCTGTAAGTATCTGAACAGACACAGAGGCTGGATTTAGTGAAATATAATGTCTCTTTACAATACACAACCACACACTAATTTATACATATGCTAGGAAATAAAGATAGATCCTAAACACAGCTGCTTTAGCAGGATATTCATTGGTTGGGCAATATTTACCTGTCTTCATTAGTTGAGCCGTTCCAATGGAAGAATGGAGGGGTATAGAAATAGAAAATGGTGAACACGTGCTCTGAACCAGCAGAACCATGTGGACTCTAGCTGCAGACTAGAGGTTAAAGATGGAGGTAGGGTGTGTAGATAGCAAGCTGGACATAAGAGGGTTAAAGCTTCGATAGGGGTCATGGAGAGGGTAAGTAAGAGAGAGACCATGCGGTCAGGCAGTATCTTTTATAACGTGGTGTGGGGCGGCTGGCTAGGCTGGCTACATCCCCCTGTGACACTTCCTGTAAGTCCGTCCCATAAAACATACTATTGGCTGGCTAGAAGAGGGGAGGGGGACTAAGGAGTGGTCAATATTGAGAGCTAGAAACTTGATCTGGGGACTGGCACCTGAATGAATCATCAGGCTAGGGCTATTGTCTCTTATTGGATTTGTAGGTAGCTGGAGGGGGGGGAAGAGAGGTTGCCTACATGTGCTGGAAGAAACTCCTAATGGCATCTGGAGTTCTCTGTCCTCATGATTTTCCATGGCATGGCATTGGTACTGGCTTATGGAACTGCTTCATCTCACAGCAGGTAAGATGGCTGCTGACTCTGGACTATCACTGTGACAGCAACCCTAAACGAAGGCGTCCCTTTCTCAGGTGTGCAGTCTCGACAGGTATTCTCAGGTCTCCATGTTATACAGTCCCTTTGGACAGTTCATATTCCATAAAAACACATTGATAGGCTTGCATGGCAACATGATGAGCCAAAGGGTGGACACCTGTGGATAGAACTAAGAAAGGTCCTTGTTGAGTGGACGGCACTCTCATTTTCAGAAGTGGGGACTACTGCTGATTTCCATTGGCTTCACCCTCTAGCCACAGTTCCCTGCATCACTTCCTGTGCCATCCTGGAGGTCCTCACGAGTGAGTCCTTTGGGGTGCAAGGAACCACAGTAAGAAGGAGCAGGCAGGAAGCCCACTCCACACGAGTGACTGCTCTAGTCATTCTCTGGATCATGTGCTCATTTGACTTCTGGCTCTCTGGTGCTTTGTAGATGAACTCCTTTGGGGATATGGAAGAGGTTGGTGAAACAGAAATCCATGATGGTGGTGGTGGAAAGTGCCGTCAAGTGGCAGCTAACTTATGGTGACCCCACAGGGTTTTCAAGGCAAGAGACATTCAGAGGTGGTTTGCCATTGCCTGCCACTGTGTCATGACCCTGGACTTCGTTGGTGGTCTCCCATCCAAGTACTAACCAGGGCCAACCCTGCTTAGATTCTGAGATCTGATGAGATCTGATGAGATCAGGCTAGCCTGGGCTATCCAGGTCAGGGCAGAAACACATAAAATGTAAAAATAAAATGTCTTTCAATGGGCTAACTGCTTAAAGGGTTGGTAATAGGATCATGGGCTCATCTCCTTGCTGATTCTCTGTACCACTAGATCTGTCCAATATGGCAACTGTAGTTTTAATTTGGTGAACTCTTGGGGAAAATATTAACAAAGGGTTTCCTGCAAATGTTCATGTTTATAGGTTTTGTTTGAGCCATCACCAATATCTTTGTAAGAAACAGCATATCTATATTCAAACTATGACATTGTATTTTACTGAAAAGGTAAACATTTAGAAAAAATGGGGCAATCCCACTGATGGGACACATCACTTGGTGAGTGGGCTGCTGGAGACGCTTTTAAAATTGTGGCCTGTCCAGTCCACCTTTTACGATTTTACAAGCATACAGAGCATTGCTCCATTCTAGAACTGAGCACTGGCTCTCCAGAGTTCTCAGAAGGATCAGGGTGGGCTCTGCAATAAGTTAATGGGTCTCTCCACATCTTCCAAACAATTGAGCAGAAGGTTGCTGGGTTTGCCCAACTAGAACTTACTTTGCTTCCTGAGAAGTTTGTAAGTGCACTTTCTCAGAGGAAATTAATTTCCATGCCAAAGAACTCTCTAGTGATTTTTACTGGTACCTCAAAAGGAAACTGTGATGCATCTGAGAAATTCTGGAATGGGGGAGGACAGACATTTTAGGTTCTTAACATTTGGCTTATCAAAACACAGTGACTTTTGAAAGCTGTCGCTGTTCTCTGCTCTAAGAACTTTTGAAGTGTGTGGATTCCTCTTATGCCAAGCCCCAGTGGGTCAGAACATCCCCTTCTTATTTAAGGGTACTCACTCTTTTTCACCTATAGCTCTTGTTGTTACTTGCAATGTAGAGATGCTGGCTGTATCCAATAATTTTACCCCTGCAATGGGTCCTTTAGGAAGAAACCACAGACACTTCTGTGGTTCAGGTAAATGTGCTAGCATTGTGCCTGTATCAGACATTTTGTGGTTGCAAACGAACGCTAGCAGATAGATGAAGATGACTGTTCAATCTCATCAATAGCAGACATGAGGAAGAGTTGGATTGATATTGTCACACTGGGTGCATAGGTGATTATTCACTGTGCACAGTTAAACCCCCTGAAAACCTGTTTTTTCTCAATAAGGAAAATATTAATTATCATTTACCTCTTTTTCCTGTTCTTTCCTTTTCCTCAAGTCTTTGCTCTTGATTCTTGAACACCCTACTTCATATTGCAGATTTTTTTCATGTTCTGTAATGGGTCCCTAACCTTGAAAAGTTTGTGGGGACTTTTTGAGATTTGCAGACCAGTAGTGGGCACCATCATAAAATGGCTGCCATTGGAGGTGGGACCAATCGCCAGATGGGGAGGTGCCATGGAGGAGGGCAGTTGCAAAACACTGAGAGGTCCTGGTTCTAAAACCCTCATATGATGTGGGCAGGCGTTTCCAAATGGGCACTCCCTGAGGACCCAAAGGTAAATGCTTCCTGGGTTCTTTTAAAGCATCTCTTGCTCCAGTGAGGTGGAGGAAAGCTAAGAATGACTCTCTGCTTTAGGGAAGAACTGAAAAGAAGCAAGCAGGCACCTGGAAACACATCAGTGGGCACTGTGGCACCCAGAAGCACTATGGTCCTGTCCATACGAGGCCTTTTGGGCCAGGAGCGGGATGGAACGGGGGCGGAGCAAACGGGCACGATCCCATGGCAACATCTGGGAATCGTTGCCTGCCCATCCCTGTTCCGTCCCAAACGCCGATACTGCGCTGCAAAAAAGCACCACCTACCTAGGTGGTTGTATCCCTTGAAGTGGCTCAAGGCGGGCCATGGGATCGGGCGGCGCGTCCTTGCGCTGCGGCATCTCTGCCCCCAGCCGTACTGCGCATGCTCGAGCATGCACAGTTCGGCAGCCTCCCCCTCCCATCGGACTCTTGCTCCCCGGCATCTGATCGTGCCGGGGATCCGTGGGAACCTGCCGCGGCGTCTCAAGTTCGGTGTGGCTCTGAGTAGCCGCGTTTCAGCCGTCACATGTGGCAGCAGCCTATGTTGGGTATCACCGTACCCAGGGCTCTAGTTGGGGGGGAGCTCTCAGGTACGGAGCTCCGGAAGAGAACCTCTAGGGGGCGGGGCGGTCACGTGGTGAAGCCCCGCCCCCTTCTTTACCCCGCCCTCTGCGGGTAAGTAGCCGGGCCTTCTGACACACTTCCGGTGATGTCAGGGGGTGTGGCCTTCTGTCACTTCCGGTGATGTCAGGGGGCGTGGCATATGCAAATAAGTTATGCTAATGAGTTATGCTAATGAGCTCCGGCAGCTCTTTTTCTACAACAAGACCCCTGACCGTACCAAATGCATATCATGTAGCAATCTGGCTGAAGCTCAGCAGGCCTGGGCCTGGTCAGCATCTGAATGGGAAGCCCGCTGGGATTCTTATGTAGACTCACTTGAATTCCTTGTAAGAAAGGTAGGATATAAATGAAGGGGATGAGTAAAATCAACTGCCTGCATGTCTTTTCTCTTGCTACTTCTGTGGTTTTCAGCTTGCTCCTGATTGCCAGGGATGTCCCTGATTTCACCTGATACTTTAAACTAGTCTCTCATTACCCTCCCACTGACAAGCCCTTTCCGTCCATTGTGATACATGTGCTCTAGAGAACCAGTTTGGTATAGTGAGAGCCAGTTTGGTGTAGTGGTTAAAGTGTGTGGACTCTAATCCGCAAGAACCGGGTCTGATTCCCCACTCCTCCACTTGCAGCTGCTGGATGACCTTGGGCAAGCCATAGTTCTGTCAGAGCTGTTCTCTCAAGGACAGTTCTCTCTGAGCTCTCTCAGCCACACCTACCTCACAGGGTGTCTGTTGAGAGGGGATGGGAAAGGAGTTTGTAAGCCGCTCTGAGACTCCGAGTGAAGGGTGGGGTATAAATCCAGTCTCCTCCTCCTCCTCCTAGTTTTATCTTCCCAGTTTTGCCTGGCACACTTTCACCTGGTTCTTGTCTAGGTATATATAGTTGTAGTCACAGTTGTGGTTGATATTCATTAATGGCATTTCAGCAGAGCTAATATAATCATGCAGCTTTAACTTCAGTGCTTATTTTTTAATGGACAAAGTGAGTGTATACACAGTTGAAAAGACAATGAAGTCAGAGGCAGATATACCTTGCAAGTTAGAAAGTTTATTGCATTGCATGAGTAAACAGAATGTAATTCTCAATACCTTAAAAAGAATACACCTCCATATAGTGAGAAGAAAAGCATGTTGTATTTTTTTAGACTCCTTGTTTGCAAGAAACTACTAAGCTGCAATTGATTCTGTTTTCAGGAAGTTTTCTTCTGGGTTCTCCCTTGCTGGCATGCATTGGCAGGTTCCCACATTTCTTAATGCCATTCACTTAGCTGCCCTTTCTTCAATGGATTTCACTTGTGAAGAGACTATTTTGCCATCCACCATCTCTTCCACAATGGTCTTAACCACCCTGGTTTTAGTGGGTTCTGAAAGGGGCAAATGTTAAGACAGTATTATCCACTATAAAAAACAACACAAAGTAAAATAAAGTGCACTCACATGACCTGTCTACCCACCATTCAGTGATTTCCACATATGAGGCAAGTGCCAGAACTGAGCTGAGAAATACACTTTTATTGGGGATTGTAGGCCAACACAGATTTTTATAAACCTTGAAAATCAGGTTTGGCCTGTAAGCCCAAAACTTCTGTTGTTTTCCCACCAGCCAATTATATCTTATAATGGCGACAGATCAAGATGGGCAGCCGTGTTACTCTTTCTGTAGGAGTAGAAGAGAGTAAAAGCCTAGCAGCACCTTAAAGACTAAAAAAATTGTGGCAACGTAGGAGTTTTATGAGTATCTGAACTCTTGAAAGCTCATACCCTACCACATATATTTTTTAAAGTCTTTAAGATGTTACTGGACTCTTGCTCTTTTCTACATCTTATAACGACATCCAATTTTCAGCAATGGTGGTTACATTTTATAATGTTATCCAGTTTTCAGCAACTGCAAAAAGATACCTAGTAAGAAAAACAATTATGTGAATATGTGGTTAGTATGTAATTAATGAATTAAGATACATCACCATGCTTTATGCTGATGGCAGCATAGCTGAAGCTGTGTTTGACCTGGGATATGTAATGACTGAAAATGGATCCAGGGTAACATCTTCCATCACGCTGACTTTTTGGTGGTTGGTTTACTAGACTTTCTTATTACAAGTTACTTGTATCACAATGGCAAGATTTATATTTTTTTTCAGACTTTCCCCTTTACTACTGACTAAGTTTTAGAATCCTATGCATATCACAGTGGTTACTCTTTGTAATACAAAGGACTGTATTTACTCTGTTTGGATTACTGCAAAATTCAACCAAATAACAAATAAATGTATTCCAATCAGGACCTTACCAGTAGAAAAAATGCTCCTTTGTTTATATTAAGCCTGTTATGCAACCATTTAAACTTTATTAAAATTGTTGTATTGTTTTATTTATAAAGGATACGCTCATAGTGACTGTTTTCAGCCCAGGTATCCTATAGAAAGTTCCTTAAGGATATTGAAACCACTTTCCCTTCTCCCCAAAAACAATCTAATATTTAAAATGTTTCTTGAACACTGGCTGCTAAAATGCTGCTAGTATAATAATCCTTACCAGGGAAAGGGCAGTGAAAGTGGAAAAGAGACTCAGGCCCCGGTCACACGGGCAGGAAAATGCGGGGGGGAAGAGTGGCTGTTCGCCCCGGAGCAAAATAATGCGCGGCTGCGTGATCAGACGTCCCGTAGAGGTCCTCTCGAGGTCCCATGGTTAGGGGGGAGGTGCCGATCACAGGACAATCCTGCGGCGCAGCAAAGAAGCAGCCTCTCTAGCAAAAGGCTCAGCTGGTTTAACCCCTTCCAGGGCTGCAGAGGAATGCAAACTGTGTCCTCCCTCCGCCCTCCCACCACGCCCCCTGCACCTCCCCCTCTGCTGCCCGGTGCAGAGAGTTCCTCTCGAGCAGGCTGAGCCAGGAGTGGGGGGAATGGAAAAGAGGAGGAGGCTGTGTTGTTTGTTTTTAAACGAAGTGTGCGCATGCGCTGTTGGGTGCTTGTGCGCATCTTGTGGAGACTTGGGGGAAAAAACCTTTTAGCGACGGGACATGGGCGGGCACCGGATGCCACAACCTACCACTGGAAATGCGATCAGGCACCCGCCCTTGCCCCGCGGTTTCCGGAAACTAGTACCCCGGAGGTACTAGTTTTTTACCCCGCATCTTCTGCGGGAAGCCTCTGGTTCGCCACGGGAGCGCTACGCTTCCCAGATGTGGCGCTGTGATTGTGCCCGGAAAATCTGCCTATCTTCCGTCTCTGTAGTGTGGCTAATGCTCCGTGTGACCGCAGCCTCAATAAGTCTAGGCAAGAAATCCATCAAATCCAAGGTGGTCCTTGGGTCACTCACCTATGGAGAAACAGTGCCTTAAATTATACTTCACTGACTGGGTAATGGATTAAGTATAGGTTTGTAAGAATTTGTAACTTATTATTGAAATAATAAATTGTAATTACCTCTGACATGACTTTTTGTTTCATAGGAAGATCGGAAACTGTCATAAAGGAATAAAATAATAGTTGTTACCCCTCTTACAGTGTTAATGAAATTCTATAAAAATGGCTGCTCGGGAGGTTAATAAAGGCTGTAGTAGAAAGAGAACACTGCTATAATTAGAACATACTGATTTTTTTAGTTTAGTTTAGAATGAATCCTTTGTAAATTTTGTTGATGTGATTCAGAAAACCAGAGTGCTGTTTAAAAAAAATCAAAATGTATGTATGAATGGGAAATTTGATTTCATATCTCGTTGCTGGATCTCCCTCACAGAGAACAGCCAGTATTGAGCAGTGAGGCAATATCTTTATTTGGATCAGCTTGTGTTTCAGACACTGCAAGAATGTTTTGGAGTTGCACTGAATGCTGCCTCAGAAATAAAAAACAGAAAAGGCAACAGTTGGTTCTTTAAGTTTGCTTACAGCCATTTCCAGCAAGTTTTTAAATAATAAAAGATATTGCCTTGACTTGATTTATGTATCTTTCTGGTTATACTTTGAATATAAACCATCACTTTGAATATAAACTATTATTTTGTTTTAACTGCTCAGAAACAACTTCTTCCTTCTAACCCTGCTGCTGTTTCATTAAGAGCAAAAGTCACTAGGCTCTGTTGATTCCATGTCTAAAAGAAGCAAGACTATGCCTGCTTATGCCCAAGGCAATATTTTTAAAAATTACACAAAGAAATTGTATGGTTGGGATTGTAAAGACTTGCTGTTTACATATTCATTGTTGTTAAAGTTGCAATCAACAAATGAATGTAACTGTTCATTCCTAACCAGAAAATAACAAGTTTTGTGTAGTGGGTAAGAGCGGCAGACTCTAGTCTGGAGAACTGGGTTTGATTCCCCACTCCTCTACATGCAGCCAGCTGGGTGACCTTGGGTCAGTCACAGTTCTCTTAGAGCTGTTATCTCAAGAGCAGTTCTCTTAGGGCTCTCTCAATCCCATCTACCGCACAGGGTGTCTCTTGTGGGGAGAGGAAGGGAAGGAGATTGTAAGCTGCTCTGAGACTCCTAGTGAAGGGAGGGGTATAAATCCAATCTTCTTCTTTACTAACAAGATGTGTGTTCTAATCAGATGAGCGGTTGTATCCAACCAGCTTTCCCACAGGCAAAAAGTAGAGTAAGGATCTCCTTTGACCACTCAAAAAAAGCTGTGTTGGAGATTATGGGACCCGCATAGACAAAACCCACGTGGAATGGGAAAGTAATGAGTGGAATTGGGAGCAATTGAGTGGAAAAGTTGGTGGGATGCATTTCCGACCATGAACCATTTGAATGAGGCAGAAAGGGAGGCAGAGTTGGCTACCAAGTTGATATCTGCCACTGCTACTGCCTATTTGCTTACCTTTCCCCATCCAGCAGGCGCCTGTATGTTTCAATTTCCATTTCCAGCCGGGTCTTGATGCCGAGCAGTTGCTGATACTCTGAGTTTTGGCACTCCGTTTCAGCCCTGATCTGCTGAAGCTGTTCCTCCAGGCCGCTAACTTGCTGCTGAAGCTGCGCAAGCTGAGTGCTGTAGTTTGCTTCTGTTTCTGTCAAGGTGCCTTCTAGAGAGGCTTTCTGTCAGCAAGAGAAATACACAGTTGGAAGTACTGTCACTCTTCAGTGAAAAACTTTTGACTTACATCCTCTGAGTTAGATCAAGATGGGTAGCCGTGTTAGTTAAGGACTAGTATGATTTGTGGCAGGGTGGGTGCTTTCTTGTCACTGCTCACTTCTTCCTCTGAGTCTCAAATTAGAATGCTTTTAAAACAGAGAGTCAATGTGTATGTTTTATGTGTCCCCAGGAACTAATATGTAAATCTGGAATTTTGCTCCTGGTACACAATTTGGCACCTCAGCAGTCACATATTGGACAACAGACAATCCATATAATAACCATTAAAACTACGAATAAACTAAAGCTACAGGAGATCGTGCGAGGGACCCACTTTCTTCCTGCAGTGATTTAGAGAGGGGGGCTACAAGTTAATGGAGAAGTTTAACTGAATGGCAGTTTCACTAAAACAAACAGCTCTTCAAAACTATTTAATTTTGACAGCCACCCTTTTGACATGCTCTTCAGGAATGTTGCCCTAGAGCAAATATGAGTACTTCTGTTTTTGAGTGCAGTAGATTGTATGTATGCTGGAAACTAAGGCGAGGGAGAATGTGCTCTGACCTTCTTGGTCTCTGGGATCTCTTAACTCTTCCTTGGGGCTTTGCTTACTGCTGCTATGAGCCTCTGGGGCCTATGAATTTATTAACAGATTTTTAAAAAGACATTTGTCTCCATTGCTCTGTTCTCTAACGGAAAGTGATTGTACAGATGTTGCTACTGTTCAAAGAGAGATAAAAATACAAACCTTAGCCAGGAGGGATTGCAACTCAATTTCCAGTGCTTGGAAGGAGCGTCTCAGCTCTATTAACTCATTCCTGGCTGAGTTTGCAGCACCGGCGTCATCGTAGATTTGTTGCTGCAATGGTTGACTCTAGAGGGAAAATCAATAAAATGTAAGTTAAGAAAAGGAATGCATCTATTGTTGTACAATGTGCATCTATTGTAGTACAATGTGCTTCTGTCATGTGGGACCCTTAATGGAGAATCATTTGGTACAGTGTCAGATAGGGTATAAGTAATCACTATAATCTAAAAAGGTCCTGTGAGAGAATTGTGATTGGATCAAATGAGCTATCTTTGCTATCTGAATCTAATTTACCATAGGGAGTGTCTTTCTCATCTCTGTATGAGTCCTCTCACTGTTTGAAATCCCAAAGAGAACCTCTGTGCTATCTGTTTAAATGATTAAGATCTTATCTGTACTTGCTTGAAACATACCTATTTCAGTAATTTAGAAAGAACTGATGTGATTAATATACTGTTGTTAATTGTATGGTTTTGCTGTTTTATTGCATTTACAATTTACAAAACCACTTTGCATTTTCAGAGTAGGGCAGATATATATAAAAATAAAGTACAGGTGAATTAATTCTTAATTGAAGTGAAAACACAGGGTTTAGATTTTTTTATCATTAAAAAGGGTGGTGGTTAATTTCCTCTTTCTGTTGGAAGAGAATTGTAAAGGTGCTCTTAAAATGGTTCATTATTTAAATGGTTAATAAAAGGCTCCCAAGGGCAGGTTTGTGTGTTTTGTTTTGTTTTTTGTCTGTGTAGTAGGTAAGCTTTACTCTTTGGAAGTAAATAAGATAATGGTGTTTCACTGTCCATTGCAAAAGAATGGTAAACTACTGACAGTTATGATGTTTAGGTTTGGTATCTTATTTGCCCAGTGGTTCCAGTTACCCACTGTGAGAGCATACATTTTAAGTAAAGTACATAGTTCAAAGCTTATTTTCAGTAGTGATTCTTACCATTTTGTTAAACTGTTCTTCAGCCTCTCTGCGATTTTGTTCTGCAAGGTCTTCATATTGCGCTCTCATGTCATTCAGTAGCTTAGTCAAGTCTATTCCAGGAGCAGCATTCATTTCCACAGTAACGTCACCAGTACAGCTGCTCTTCAATAAGGTAATTTCCTGTGCAAGAAGACAACAGTATTCAAGCAGATTATTTCTTAGGCTGAAGAATAAGCTTTGAGTTCAGCACCAGGGGTCCCTCTAGAAGGATGTTACTAAAATCTATGGTAAATTCTTAACAAAGTTTTGGTAATTATCTTCTTAAGCACATCCATGCATTATAGTGCAAGACATACATCTTTCCTGCAACCAGTATATAAACTTTCTTCTGTTACAAATCACATGTTGATTGGCCTCATAGACATAGCAATATCATTTAATTCTTATAGAAGTCTTAGTTTGTGGCCCCAGCACCAAGGGGTGAGGTGTGGTCTAAAGGCAAAGAGCCCCTTTATACCCTACTAACCCCATTTATACTTCAGTTGAAATAATACACACACACTGGGTGGGTTGAGAGTTGTATGAAATTTTTTCTGTCGGACAGAGTTCTCTGTGACTGGAGAATGTGCATACATTAACAGAAACCCTTAACAGAAACAATGAAGTCATTCTGTTGATTTTTCATGTTTCTCCTAGCCAGGTATTAGCTTAGAGAGAGCCAGTTTGGTGTAGTGGTTAAGTGCGCGGACTCTAATTTGGGACAACCAGGTTTGATTCCCCACTCCTCCACTTGCATCTGCTGATTCCCCACTCCTCCACTTGCACCTGCTGATGTGACCTTGGGTCAGTCACAAGCTCTGGCACAGCTGTCCTTGAAAAAGAGCAGTTTGTGTCAGAGTTCTCTCAGCCCCACCCGCCTCACAGGGTGTCTGTTGTGGGGAGGGGAAAGGAAAGGAGTTTGTAAGCCGCTCTGAGACTCCAAGTTAAGGGCAGGGTATAAATCCAATCTCTTCTTCTCTTCTTTTTCAGTTGTTCTTTAACCATGTTTCTTAATTTATATTTGTTGAAGTGTTTCCAGAACAAAACACCACAGAGTGAAAACTATCTGTATCTCATTAATCCAAATTAGCAGCATAGGCTGTACAGAGTCTGATTCACTGCCCAGAACAGCTACCAGGTATAATAGTTCTAAGCAAGGAACGGCATTTCAGACAGTAGAATTTCAAAAAATTGAACCCATTCCAGTAGTACCCGTCTGAAATCTAGATACACCAGCTTTACTTTATTAGTTGGAAGTGTAAGATGGCGATCTGCTTAGGGCTACATTCAGGTGGGGGTGAAGAAGGAGTGGCAGCCCAAGCCTCTTTTATCTTCTATATTAAATATTGGACCACACAAGTAGTAGTGAGTACTCATCAGAAGAAAGTAAACTAATGAATAAACTATTTTATGACACTATCTAAACTTAGCCAGTAATCTTTTGACATATAGTTTAAGATACCGTATGTTACTTTTGACATACACTTAAGATCTGTTACTTGAGCTATTTTTAGTTTTAAAAACCCCTCGTACTGATCTCTAATGAGATTTTATTTCTCTTATTATTGCTACTCATCCCAAATCTTTGGGATTGTGTGGGCTATATGTTCAGTTCATTAACCCTGTGGTTAAGGTTGAGGTTGACTTGCCTCTAGTGAGTTACATAGTGAGCTTCATGGCTGAGGGGAGGTTTGAAGATGGATTTCCCCAAAGATCAAAGTAATAGTTGCAAAAGGGAACGCATAGTTCTTTTACCTCCTCATGATTCTTCTTAAGGTAAGCCAGTTCCTCTGAAAGGGTTTCAAGCTGTGACTCCAGGTCAGACCTGTTCATGGTCAGGTCATCAAGAACTCTACGCAGGCCATTGATGTCTGCTTCAACACTCTGGCGAAGGAAGAGCTCATTTTCAAATCTGAAAAAGGTGGGGAGAAGAGTAACACATATATTCAGTGTACAAAAACAGCTGATTATTCACTGTGAGTAAAAATGGAAAATAAATGGACAAAATCAAAACGGGGAAGCACTTAGCACATTAAAAAGCAAATTGTCTGGAAAATAAATGAAAGTTAAGAAAGATAAATTCCGTTTCTATATAGTGTACAAAAATAAAGCAGAATCTCCTAGCATATCAAAAATTTTTGACTAGGCATCTGTAAAGTACATTACATTTTTTATGGGATTGAACTAGAAGCCCTGGGAAGGTCCATTCTAACTCTGGGATAATTATAGCAGGTGTGTTGCATACTAAGTTCCAGGAGACAGGTTGTTAGACATGAGCCTGAAAATTATGGCTTCAAATCCTCACTCATCCTTGTTGTGTATGGTATTTTTTATAAACAATTTTATTTCATCAAGAATTGGCTCAAGGAAACAAACTTTGTGTGTGTGTGTGTGTGTGTGTGTGTGTGTGTGTATTACTAGGTGTGTTGTATGTATGATATATGAAACTGTATTCAGTTCCATGTATAGCCAACTATTGGCAGTTTTTGTCCATTATAACAAATTCCACCTAAAATGCTATGGTTTGCTCTTATTTACACAATATTGTAAGTAGAATTTTGGTTTAAGTTTTTATGTTTATGATTTTTGTTAATATCCTACCATTATTGGAAAGGGGAAAAGACTAAAGTAATCCAATATTCTAGAATTAAAAATAACAGAAAAGTTTGCATTTGGCTTACTTCAGTCTGAAGTCATCAGCAGCAAGGCGGGCATTGTCAATCTGTAAGACTACATTGGCATTTTCAGTTGTCACGTTGACTATCTAAAGTGAAATATGAAAACAAAGCTCTATTTAATTTTGTGGCAATTTTGCATTTTTCAGTTAGCAGTTATACATTATCAAAAATTGCTAAAAGACTAGCACAGAGCAAAACTGTATTTTTTTTAAAAATAAACATTTTCCATCAGGAACATTTTGAATGTCTCCCAATTCCAAAATGTGCTGATTATGAAGAAATAAGGTTGGATTTTTTTTGTTTTTTCTACTGAAAATTTTGAATTTACAGTTATTTCTGTTATAATCCATACATTTGATAAAAATGATTCAAATACTTTCATTTAACCAATATGAAGGTAAAATATATGTCACTAAGAAATCTTATTAACATCTTTGAATTCAGCAAACAACCTAGCTAAGTGGGTCAGCTTGAACTTGTCAGTTTATTTCCATTTACTTGATTCTTTAGTTGTAGATTTGGGCTGCTAGTCCCCTGAAAAACAAATTCCGCTATTTGAATTTACTCAACTGACCACATAATACATTTGATACAATAATCTGTCACTGAGTCTTAAAGAAATGTGTGATAAACCTCATCTTTTACAGATCTTTTTTAATATTTTAGTGCATACAATCAAAGGCAGCAATCTTCATTTTTTATCTCTTGTGTACACAACAGAGTACAGTCCCCAGATAATCGCTGCATCACTTGTGCAGATTCCATTCATTTAATCCAAATGGCTGTGGACATTCCTGATGCTCTCGGCCCAAACTGTACAGTCAGCTGAACATTTATTTTCTCACCTGGTTCCGAAGATCTTCAATTATGTGGTGATATTTGCTGTAATCACGGGTAACTCCAGGAGCTCCAGGTCCATTTTTTTCGTACCAGTTACGAATTTTACGCTCCAGCTCAGTATTGGCCTCCTCCAGAGAACGCACCTTTTCCAGATAGTTTGCTAGGCGGTTATTAAGGTTCTGCATAGTTTCTTTTTCGGCACCAGCCAGGAAGACGCTATCACCCCCTCCAAAGCCACCCCCCAAAGACATGACGGAGCTTGAGCGGTAGCCTGCTCCATAGCCACCACCACCACCACCGGTCACAGAGGCACTGCCAAAGCCAGCTCCATTGAAAACGCTACATCCACCTCCTCCATAGCCTAGCCCTCCATAGCCGTGCCCCGTCATGGATCCCCCACCAAAGCCATGCAGACTGCCTCCTCCAAAGCTTGCCATTTTGACACCTCCATCACCCCCAACATGGGAAGAAATTCTCCTGGATGCAGTAGAGATCCGAAGAGACATTGTAGACAAGTGATACGCTTTGCTAAAATGCAGCAGAAAAATAATAATAAAAGGACAAGCACTCAAAGGAGCGGCAGATAGTGTGCTAGTGGGGGCAATTTACTCAGCCTTTTATGTAGGATCATTAGGGTGTTGCTTTGTAATTCCTCCTACCTGTGGCAAAATATTTTTTTTGTCTGCTCAGCGGATCTATGCTGTAACTGGTTCTCTTCCTCCCTCCCATTGGTTAGCATTTAATTTAATATTATGTCCATTTGTGCTGTTAGGTGCCCTGAGGATGTTTGTTATGCCAGGGGCGGAGTAGGGTGGAACAAAGTTAAAAATTCATTATTGTAATTGTCGGTGAGTAATTCTTTTCTTCTTCTTCTAGACCCCAGGCATAACTCTCCTCATTCCCAGAGCAAGTCTCCAAGTGACATGCTTTTTTGGTATTACTTAAGACGTTTCATTCATTCACGTAACAAAGAAGTGGCAGACATCAGTTCTTGTTCTGAATACAGTTCTGCCTTTTCAGTGTTTGCAATAGTGGGATGACATTTCTTTTTGATTAATCCACTCCATGTTTCTTTGACAGTACTCTCTGATTGCTTGAAAATATCCTGGAAAAGCCCCTGGTACTATAGGATTTACATAGCCATCCCCCTTTGGAGTAGATTGCTCTACTCCAGGCTTTTAAAAGGAGAGTCATAAGACTTCTAAAGCATCTTAAGCTGAAAGATTGACATCAACATTATTGTTAAAAATGAGAGGACACTATAAATGTTTTGGGACCTGCTAGATGGAGGTTTTATTTGGAAGTTCTAGGTATTAAGTCTTTTTCCCCACTTGAATGAACACTTTGCCTAATATAGACATTTCATTAGAATTACACATTTGAAAAATATTTAAATCAGTTTTCCATGCTAAGGGAAAATGCCTTAAACTATAGAATGCAGTCTAGAGAACGTTACACTTGCCATTCTAACATGATAATAATTGAGACAGATACTAAAGTCTCACAGGTTGTAAGCACTTTTACAAGGGCAGAAGTTTGAGTTCAGTACAACTAACTTCCAAGTAAGAATACCTAGGACTATAATCTTTTTTTTCAGGATTGCTTCCAGAGTGATCGTTTTATGGGAAGGTAAGGACATGGGCTATAGAACAGGAACATTACAAACTCAACAGCTGCTCATTCCCACAAAGGATAGAAAGTCTGAGTATCTCCAGAAATTTTTCAGTGTTTTAATGAGCAGTACAATGATTTTATCGGGAGAACGTGACATGATGGATGTTTGAAGTAATACAAGAGAAGGAGAGAGTGGAGGAATTGCTTAAAAGAATGTTAAAATTAGGAGAGTAATTTATAGTCAGGAACAGTGGAAAGGTTTGTATTGGAACCCAGCAAGAGAAATGTTCCTCCTGTGGTAGGTTACGCAGTTAACCAGTAAAGGTAAAGGTTCCCTTGCTCAAAAGCCAGTCGAATCTGACTCTAGGGTTGCGGTGCTCATCTCCGTCTCAAAGCCGAAGAGCCAGCATTGTCTGAAGACATTTCCGTGGTCATGTGGCCGGCATGACTAAACACCAAGGCGCACGGAACGCTGTTACCTTCCCACTGAAGTGGTACCTATTTATCTACTTGCAGTTTCTTGCTTTCGAACTGCTAGGTTGGCAGGAGCTGGAACTAGAGACGGGAGCTCACTCCATCATATAGCACACTCGGGTCTTGAACTGCTGAACTACTGACTTTCCACAGCCTGCAGTTCAGCGTCTTAACCACTTGAGCCACCGCAGCCCCTAGTTAACCAGTAGTGGTTCAGAAATCAGATGTTGTTACGCTGTAAAAATCCAGCACTATGTTTCAGCATCAAAATAAAGCATTAAAAGATTGGGCAGATTCAAATCATCATCTCATCCTCTTACTTACCCGCTGAAATAAGTGGGTAGAGTGTCTTTTTTCATCTCCAACCTTCTCCTTACACCCTTCACTCATGTCAAGGGGGTTTGGGATAATCACAAGGTTTTATTAGTGAATAAAAGGCTCTATGGAACTGAATGCCCGGTTGCTGCTGATGCAAAGCAGTGTTGCTGATGGACATGCAAGTAAGAGTAGGGATGTGGCTCTAATTTTAAGTTTGGAAGGGGTATGTCAGTCTGTGGAGCAGTTTAGCAATAACTCATTCCCACCTGACCCACCTGGGACCAAAATAAACTCTACAGTTTTGGTGATTAACTTTTCAGGCTTCACAGAAGTTCACTGTAGCATGCAGGCAAATGTGTGGAAAACTGTTTTGGTGAGTCTCAGACCCCTGGATCACCATTCCAAGAACAAGTGGGGGAAGAGAAATACATTTGGGTACAATAAAAACATTTTTTTCCCGTTTTTAATTCTATACCTTGGTATAACATTGTTGGATCTTAGCTGCTTGTTTATCTGCACTATACTGAGAAGAATCTCTTTTTCATACTATCTTTTAAAGTAAGAAATATATATATACAAGAAGGGGGACCCGCGATACTCGTGGGGGTGGTGGGAGGAGAAGCTCCACCGAAGAAGAAGGAAGCAGCCACAGGTGAGCCTTCTCCCCTGCCCCCTGTCCCTGGCACCCACAGTGAGGCCTGCACCTCTCCAAGCCTTCTCCCTCCTCCCCCCCAGCACCGGCGGTGAGAGGCCTGAACTCGGTCTGCCGAACTTTCTCCCGCCTCTTCCTCCAGTGGTAGTGGGAGGCCTGAGTTCGACCCACCAGACTTTCTCCCTCCCCCTGCGGCAGCGGCTTCGGCGGTGAGGCCTGAGAGGCTTCCAACCCCCAGCCCACTGCAAAGTTACCAGAGCGTTCCCTGCGCATGCGCAGGAAACACTCTTTTACTTTTTGTGGGATTTAAATATCCCCTCTATATTTTTTCAACTGTCGCCATGGAGCCTAGGAATTCCATTGCAGCCCCTGGTATTTTCAGCATTGATTTTACTGTAGTGCAGGGGTCATTTCGTAGAAAAAGAGCTAGGGGGACTCATTAGCATAACTTATTAGCATATGCCACACCCCCTGACATCACCGGAAGTGTGTCCTCCCCACAGACGGCGGCGACCTCCAGCGGGCACCAGCAGGGAGCTCCAGGCCCCGCCCTCCCGCACCTCACCCGGGGGGATGGCATCCCCCCGCGTCCCCCCCCCAAATGACCCCTGCTGTAGTGTCACTTGGCCATTCTCAGTTTGTACAAAGTACGAAGTTCATTTTTCATCAGAATACATTTTGCTGTGTGATTGCTTGTTGATATGTTAACCATATACCTTTCAGTGGTGGTGGATAAATTTATTACTTAGTCAGTTTCTTTCTATACTGGCTCCAGTATTAATTTAAATTGAGTTTTTAAAGCAATAATGCAATTATGAGAAATTGGGGTGTTAGTTTAGCGTTAGAGGAAAGCTTTTTGTTGTAATAATGACAACCAGCGTTACTACTGTATTTATTTATGGTCATGACAACACATGTGTCACAAGAAACTGTGAAGATTCCAGGATTAGGCTTTGTGGTAGCAATAATTAGAAAAATCCGAAGACCTGAAGGCTGGAAAATTAGTTTGACTCATAAATTTTGCAGCCGGTTCCTCAAGCCAAAGAAACTTTGTCAGGGCCTACTTTACTTAAAATCCCTTCATAAATTTGTATATTTTAAACTGTGAAATTGAGAACTGCTTGATTTTATATGAAGGGTTTTGTTATAAATTAAATCCTGAAAGTCAAAGGGCATTCTGTATTAAGTTTTACGGCAGGAGTAGCAGAGAAATGTTGAGTTGTGATTTTGGAATTTAGTATCAGGCTTTGGGAATCTGTCAGCCAGTGTGTATTGGTTACCTCATGTGGCTCTCTTTTTTCCTGATGTATTGCTGTCTTCTCAGCAAAAAATGTTTAATTTTGAGCATCAGCCAATCATTTTCTCAGAAAACATCCGACTCTACGTTCCTGGCATGAGTAGTGAAAGGAAACCTCTTAAAATGGACAAACTGTGCAGTGCAGATACAAGGAAAACTGCAATGGAATGTTAAGGGTAGAAGGAATTACAGTTATGTTGAGTTATACCAATGGTCAATCTACTCTCAGAGCACTTCTCTAGAGTTGCTGTCTACAGTTGTTATCTTACTGTATTTACTTTAAAGGAAGATGACCCTGAATGGAAAATGACCCCTCTGAAAAAATGTTTTACATGACAATTTTTGTTATTGGACATAACTGTAACATATATGACGCATTTTGGTGGCATACCTGGAAAAATACCTAGGCTTGCATCTGAGTAAATACAATAACTCCTTTAGCTGTACATCCTGAGGCATAGGCGTAATCTTCGTGGGGGCGGCGGGGCATCAGCCCCCGCCGAAATTTTCAGGAAGGTGCTCAGCCTCCCCCGGGAGCCACCCTTGCTCCTAGCAAAGCAATGCCTCTGGCCCAGCCCCAGCCCCCCCCCCGGGAAATTGGAAAGTCTACACCCTTGTGCTAAATTGTGGTGGGGACTCCCTGTAACACAATACACACTTCATTGGCCATCACTGAAAAGAGCTGCACACTATTCCCATCTTTCAAAGTACGGCATCCCATAGTACTTTATGACTACACTTGCTGAAGTGTGGTCTTCTGACCACTTTTTCTAAAAAAAATCTTCTGACCACTTTTTCTAAAAAAATCAGTACTCATAGAAGATGGCAGCCTTATTTCACAGCTATATGATAAGAGCCATGTTCTGACTCCGTGGGATAATAATTTTTTTTTCACTGGAGATTAGATGAAAAGCTTGGCAGCTATCCAGTGTTGAACTCTTTCAAGTGGTTGCATCTACTGTGAGAAAAGCCCTAGAGCAAGGGAGGGAATGAAGTTTAGCAAGAGTATCCCCATAGGTTCGCTAGGGAGCAGTATTGGCGCATTAGAGGAGATGTTTTAATTAAACCTTTTTTAGGACCTGTAATCAGGGTTCCCTCCAAGCTGAGTTGGAGGGGCTAGCTCACAGTTTTTTAGCCTCCGGCTCACACATTTTTGTCTCAGCTCAGGAAGGATGGAGCAAGCTAATCTATGCAGTAGCCAGATCACTCGCTCACAGCTTTAATGCCAGTTGCTCAAAAGGTAGGATTTTTGCT